CCGGGGGCAACAACTCCGACGAGCCTCTGTCGCTGCTCTGTTTCCTTGTCGCACCGTCTCGCTGCCATTCCACCCCCGTTCATCGCCGTCTCCCCCCTCTTCCTCTGTCACATGGGCCCGGAGCCAAACGTCGTCCCCCTTCCCTTTCTCTTCACCCATGGACCCGGCTCATGTGAACACCGAGAGAGAGAGAGAGAGAGAACGGCCCATAGCATGATCTTTGCACGACGCACAGACAAAGACAAGATCGACCAGTGACCTGCTTGAAATGGACCTGCACGTCGACTATTGAACCTAAGGAAATTGTTTTGTGCACCGGGCAAAGGTACATGTGGAGTCTACTAAACTCATTTCCATGCATAGAAAAATTCCCATAAAATTCCTAAATATACTAGGTACACCACATATCCTACCCAAATATTTCCATCTCATTTTCCATTATCCAATTTCCAGAAATAATCCCCAATCTATATTCCACATATTCTTTTCTCTATTAAATCTTCAACAATTCATATCTTTTCCACCCCAACTCCAAATTATTTGATTCTTCCACCAAAAATCCTCTAAATTCAAGCTCTACTTATTCATACCCTTTGTTCTATTATTTGGTGCCCATTTAAATTCTAGTTTGATTGCTTTCCTTTCTTGTATTTAATTTAAATACTAACCATAGTAGTAACCCGTCGTAGTAGTAGTAGTAGTTAACCCTATATATTCGTGAATATGTATGCACCACGACACATACTCGAATATAACGGTACCCAACCACCTAAAATGAATAGAAACCTATACATACAAGGATATGCCCAATACCCGGGTATACGCCTATGGATGGCTAACTTTACTTCCCGCCTAATTCTATTCTAACTAAATTGAGGCACATACATATGCATGTGCGTATGTGCCACTAACCTCGGTGGACCTATAGAGGTCAGACCAGCCATCTATGATGACTTGGTCAGGCTTTCTCTTTTATGTTCACATAATAGTGAACCCTAATAATGTGGTTTGGTTTTCCATCAGACCAACCACCCACCTTAACCTAACCCGTAGAAACCCTACAATTTGGATGGAATACCTCTATCCAAACCTTACTTCAGGTTGACATAATAATGATAACCTAAATAATCGCCCGTCACCCAATAGGACTAACCCATCTAGGATAGTATCCTTACATTGATTGCTTATGCACATTGATTGTTTATGCTTGTTTTACATGCTTTGCTTGCTATTTTCCTTGTTTGTGATTCCTTGTTTGTCGACGCTAGACTGGGTAGGATAGAAGATGTGGAGAGAATCCAATGGAGTTCCAAAGACAGGAGCAGGAGACACATGAATCAGAGAAAGAATATAATCATCAGCGAATGGAGGCAAGTCCTATCACCCACCTATTCCCTCCCCCTACATTACATGCCATCCCATGACCACCCCCTTCCACCATCACCATATTTTGCTAGCCTCCACCCTAAACCCTCCACACTCCATCTCCACCAATTTAATAAACCTAACTTACAATACTTAAGTCCTCATTGTGAATTAATAAATTATGAGCTTGATTATGATAATGTTAATGATGATATGGTAATTGGTTACCTAAATATGATATGAGCTTTATGAACTTGAGGATAATAACTATGGAACCTAAAACTAAAAAAACTAGACTAAACCCCAACAGGGAGCGAGTGAGGGATAATTTGTGTGGTACAAGTTACCTTGGCAGGTTCGCCTAGTGAGGGTTCCTGTTGGGAGATACTCATCTCGGTCACTTAAGGACCGGTTCATAGTCCCTGTCAACTAGGGAGATATTACGTACAGCCACATGTCTATATGGGTAGACTTGATCTCACACCCCGTTAGATAGAAGTATAATTTCTACTATGAGGTCGGTGTTGGCAGTGGAATATCAGGAGAAGACACAGATGCAAATCTTCCATGGTCCCATTGGTGTGGTTGCTATGTGATCCTCCACGTTAAGCCCCTTGACTTGGCCGCGTTCGAGCCCATATATTACTATTTATTTTGATGATTTGGTATCATCGGCACTATTATGTTGGGATGATGTGGTATCATCCAGGATTATGAGATGGGTCGGAGCTTTGGTGTGTTTTTCCAACCCCTGAGAAGTCACGGTAGAGTTATATGGAAATCAGAGGATGCGTCCCTTTGGGTACGAGGTCTCGTTAGACCTGTCTAAGCCATGACGATGGTGTCGGATTGTGTCTATCTTGTGGGGAAATTTGTACACCTCTGCAGAGTTTATTGAATCCATTCGAATAGCCACATCCTTGGAATGGGCAGATGCTAGGATAGGATACTATGATTAGACTTCTACAACTGTGATGATCTGGTAAGATGTATTTTACTAGTTTGGTAAACAATAATTAACCCTGGAAATTGGTGAGAATGGTAATACTCTGCTAGGGTCCAACCTATAATTATAATTACTTCACCCTACCACATTTACCTCTACCTCAACCACCGGAGCCCCCTCCACTTGTAGCCTTGCCCTTCCACCTCACCTCCACCCAAGGTTTAGGGCTTGCTGAGTACTTTATGTACTCAACCCCACACCATTTTATGTTTTTAGGCGAGAAGCTACAGGAGTACGTACTAGGATGAAACTACTGGAGCTACGCGAGGATAGGACCTTAGGAGAACGTACGAGTATGGAGCTATCGAGGACTATGCGAAGGAGCTACGCTAGGACTACGACAATTGGGGTATAGGAGTACGCTTAAGGAATAAGTCTAGGGTTACGTCCGCACTCCAAGTTGCATGTAGGAATGGAGCCACGATGACATAGGACCGCTATCATAGAACTCTGATATACGATATAAGGCCAGTGGCCCAAGCTATGTAAATCTGAACCATGTAATGTGTTTTCCCCATTAGCAAAAAAAAATATGATTTTTGATATCAATCTTGTTCGAATTGTGCGTAATGAAAATAACGATTGTTTGGGCAATAAATGGTTTTCATACCCCTATCAATGGAAATCGTTTTGGTTTTCAAAGGATGAATGACAAGGTTAAAGACGGACTAGTTCTAAGTGTCGTTCGAAGTTGAGAGACACTTAGAGTAGTTTAGGAATTGGTTTTTTTCCTTTGGCCGTACTATTAAGGGGGTATGAACTAGTAGCTTGACCTAGGTAAGTCTAATGGTTTAGGTGTAGTGCACACTTGTCAAACTTAGCGCTAGGTAGCTTAGGGACAGCCCAAAGATCAATAGAAGTCAACTTCATTCACAAAGTATCTTGAATTGGAAGTGAATGGAAGCTTGAATGGATGACCGGACGCTGTGGATAGTGGGACCAGACGCTGAAGCACCAGGTCCGGTCAATTGTTGGCGCACGCAACAGAGGCTGAAGGGCGACCAGACTCCAGGACCGGACGCGACTCTATCCCTGTAGCAGATGAGGCGCGCCACTCAGGAAGGACCAGATGCTAGCTTCATGGATGATCGGATGCGTGCGTAGCTGAGTCCGATCAACAACAAAAAGGGTCCAGAGAAGATTTTACTGATCGGACGCGTCCATTCGTGGAGGACCGGACCCTGCGCTGGGTCCGGTCACTATAACGGCCAACTCTGATAGCCAATGTCATTTAGCCATTGAGTAAGGACCGAACGTGTTCGGTCACTTCAATAGGTCATTACAAAAAATGCTAAGTTGAACCCCCAACGGGTATGTTTTGACGTGGGAAGTATAAATACTTCTCCAACTCGTCCAACTTAGCCCTCTTGACCATTTGTTCAGCTAAGGAAACACTTTGGAGTGCAAGGGAGAGCAAGAGCCTAGTCGGGTGATTGAGATTTGATAATCCAAGATTAAGGACTTCAGTAGTGTATAGGGAGTAGCAAGTGTGCATCCACCTTTCTCATTAGGCTTGTCTTGGTCAAGTGAGAGTTTATGCTTGTTACTCTTGGTGATCGCCATCACCTAGATGGCTCGGTGGTAATTGGAAGCTTGGTGATCATCCGACGGAGCTTGTGGATGACCCAAGTCATGGTGTGAGCGGTTGTGGACGATTCACCACGACGGAGTGTCAAAGAATCAGCCCATAGAGAGCACTTGATCCTTGCGCAGATCAAGGGGGGCTACACCCTTGCGCAGGTGCTCCAACGAGGACTAGTGGGGAGTGACGACCCTCCCATACCTCGCAAAAACATCGCCGCGTTCTTCTCCTTCTCTTTACTTTGAGCATTTACTTTTGAGTAATTCAATTCATGCCTTTTTATTCTTAGAATTGTCATGCTAGAGTAGGATTGAAACCTAGGGTGTAAAACTTTTATGCGGTAGAACAATAAAGAACACTCTTAGGCACTAGGGGTGAAATGGGCTAAGTGTAGGACTTAATTATTGCAAAAAAATTTAGATTAGCCTATTTCACCCCCTCTTTGACATCTTGATCCTTTAAAAATGAATAGACATAACAAGAACCAGATGACAAGTTAATTACAGGTATTTTTTTAAAAGGAAAGCTACAGAAGTTTCAACATCATCTGAAAACAGAGGTTTGAAACACAATTCCATGGCAGAACGGCATGCCAAGTCCCAACCACTTGCTATGTTTCTTCAAAATTTATTTCAGGGTGGCTGCAAGGTAGCAAAGGCTTCAACACCAAAGGGCAAAGGTGTTTATACTTTTATATGGGGTGTTTGCTAGTGCTGGTGTGGGATGTGGTTGTGAGCCAAATAAAGCCCATGTGTTTGCCACTTTCTGGCGCCCCTGCTGCAGTCCAATAATCATTTCCCTAGCCCAAGTTTGCAGCCCCATCTCTTCAACCTCTGTAGAACGCCACTAGTCCAATAACAATACTTGTGACTTGATAAGTGGGTTAGCTATATAGTTTTATTTCATAAAAAATCATAGGTTAGGACCTCTTCCTAAAGAATTTTGACATGTATATTATTTGGATGGTTGCCATGTATGACAGTATGAGCGAAAGTAATTCTCTAATCATCTGTAGAGAACTATAGAAGGAAAAGTGGAGAGAAACTCCTACCTAGAGCGCAAAACTGGATCAGTCCTAGGCGCCTGTCCACTCCAGCAGTAGGAGAGTGGCTGGAGACGGCTAGAGGCGGCTGGGTGCTGGGGGCAATGCTGCAGATGACGAAGTAGCAGCACGACAGAGGAAGACCATTGGATTTCGAAAGACCAAGCATCAGAGAATTAAAACAAAGACTGCGGATTGTCTTCAGGATGAATCGTTATTTATTTTCATTTTCAGGCTTACATATGTAACAACTCCGTAATTTTCTGGCACTTTGCCGTTTGCACCAAAAAAACAGACAAGTGGTTAACTGCAGATGATGTACACGGTAGATTGCACCTAAACAAGTAGCAGTAATAACCACAGTAAGTACAGAAGTAGCATAACATGCACTAATATCCTAGATGTTCAGGGAACCACATTAATATGACATGATCCCTAGTCCCTGGATACAAATCACAGTCAACGAGGCATAGGTAAAGTCTTGAAGCACAATAGTAAAGGCACACCAAAATGCTAGGGACATTGTAGAGTAAAGCACAAAACAGAGGAGAGGTAAAGTCCGGTCTTGTTACCTCGGAGATATTAGTTCTGAGAACGAGTATTGAATCATCTTTGCCCTGGCTCTTCCTGTTATTTTCTTCCATTTCCAGCATTTTCTTTCTCAGTGTGGCTGGCTCCTCAGCCTTATGCTTAGCCTCTTGAACTTGCCTCAGTGACACCTTAGCAGCCATCTTTCCAAAAGGCTCACTAGAGCAGAGCACGTGTCGATTAGTTGACTAGTCTTGACCGACAACTTCAGCAAACACATCATCCATAGAACCACTTGCCAAACTATGAAGCCTCTTTTGAGCTTCTTCATGAAAGCAAGACGTCATAATAGATTAATATGTGTTGGGTGTCAGTATCATGTGATTCAAAGCGTGAAATGCATCAGATTTCAATGTAACTTTCTTTCTTAAGTGTTATTATATTAGAGACTTACACCTGTTGCTTTGCCAGGTCTCCATTCCCATCTTTAGGGATCAGTATGTATATATCTGCCCTCCATATTTGGTCGCTTTTGCCGCTGTTTAATTGCAAACAACATAATCAAGGCATCCCCTAGGTAAAAACAAAGGAGTTATGTAAACTTACCTCCTCCTCCTGTATCCGTGCATAACTCTTTGATCCAGTTCTGTGTCTATGAAGAGGTTGGTATCGTTGAGAATTTCTAGATCGAGCACTTGCAGCCTATAACATAATAACAACTAAGTAAATAAACCAAACATGTTGCCAAGACTGAAATATTCCAAATCAGTTCATATTTTTGATAAAGTCAATACAATGTTCAACACTACCTTGGCCTTCTCAGTGCCCCAATATGCCACAAGGAGTTTCCATTGTTCTTCTGGGACACGAGGATCTCGGTCAGCAAGACGCTCCTCATCTGTCTCATGAACATCATACCGTTCATGTTTTAAGATACCTTTCCAGTCCTTCCATTTTTTCCCCAATGCCTGCATAACCCAGATTTCGCCAATTGGTGGGATGATAAACTTGAACTGTGGCAACCACCGGAGGACAGGAAATAACTAAATAAAGATATATGTGAGGACATATATAAAAAAAAATCAGGGTGGCAGCACAGTTATGCTTACATTAACTAAATGCCACATTGCATTCTTGTTTTTCTTTGGAAAATGTCTCCAATCTGTATATGTCAGAGGTGCCAGTGTTACATCACGGGCAAGTTGTCCCAGAAAGCTACTCAATGTAACAGCTTCAATTCCGACAGGTTGACCAAGATCATTGAAAGACACTGGAATCCTTTCACCCTCAGGCATTGTCCAGACTTTAAGGCAGAGTGTAGGACCACGACCACGTCTTTTCTTTTCCTTGCCACCTATATAAAGCAAATATGAATTGAACAATCGATAGGTATATCTCTGAATTTACTCACATCACATGTCACAACCTTTTCTATCTACTTAAATCTATGCATAAAAGAACTATAAGTTCCTCTGGAGCCAGCTCATCATTCATTAAGATATTAAAGATCAACAAAAAAAAGGAAAATTAATATGCCTTACCAGCATTGCCTAAATTAGGACTCCTTTCAAGAGCTCTCCTAACTTCTGGAGGGCGTATTTTACAGTAATGACGTGCAAAGCTTTCAGGATCGGACATATCAGGAATCGAAGAAGCAGACTGTGTGGTGGCATGATGATTGTCTGCCTCATTAGAGCTTCTATGAGGCATATTGTGTTGACGCAATGAATTAGAGGAATCATGGCTGACTTTTTCAGAACCTTGAGAATCAGATATAGTTTGACTTGGATAAACAGCCTCATTTTCATGAGATTAGTAGTATGTAGTGGCAGCAGATTGCTTGGCTAAACGCTTACTACACCTATGCTCTGACCCATTATTTGATGAAGGCGTCAAATTCCTCTTTGTGCTCTTATGGGCCAATCTTGCAGTCAGCTGGCCCATCTCAGTCTCAGCCTCCTCTGTCTGAATGCTATCATTGCAATGTTCTGGGCCCTGTTCAGTAGGACTATGCAATTTGGGTGGCCCGGTCTTTCCCTGTCCCTCCCCATGCGATCTGGTTCAAAGTTTGAACCTGCCTCTTCTCGACACTTACAGGTGTTGGGCAAACAGTGGTACCAGGTACCCGGTTCGTATGCCTTACCACAGTTTTCTCCTTAATCAGCTCAATGTGCCCCATACTTCTGTGAATTGCATGACTAAGAGATTCATTTCGTGCCTCTCCAACATGGATTGCATGGTCTGTATGTTCTGCATGAACTGAATGATAGGATTGCTGTGCATCTGCCTGATATGTGGCATAGTTTAGACTTTCCACTTGCCTCCACTTTGTACTAACAGTTTTAGCAGCAACCAAGACTTTGGTCCTATGGCAGTGCATTTCATTAATCTCATTTGACATATCAATGCATATATCATTACCAGTATTGGGATACTCCGAAAGTGACTGTTTATTTCGACATCTGACTTGTAATCGCTTTACATGAACCAGTTGATTGTCCGGATGCCCTTGAATATGTCCCAAACAAACTGCAGAATCAGGATATTCTTGGCATCCCTGCACCACAGTAAAAGCAAATCAAAATTAAGAAGCACAGTATCTCAGAGAAAGAGGCATAATCATTTTTTTTTTTACTTTTCCAGTCCCTGATGCAAACATCAAATACGGTCACTTAACATGATGTGCTAGCACTAATGATAATATATATTATCGAAGTACTTAGCAAGTCTGGTACTCTGGTGACACAATTTTAAGTTATGCAGTTAATCTACATAATTTTACATATATTCATGAGGAAAATTACAAAAGCATACAAGATCATCATCTTTATCTTTTAACTCTCCTCACATTGGGCACATAGCGAGGATAAAGGAAGTTCTAAATTGGGGAAAAGAAAAACCTATCGCGCAGTTCATGAATCATTGAATCTAGACTCTGAGCTTCTTGTTATGAAATGCAAGGTACCACAAGAACACCTTGACAATTTGTGGTACTACATTCTCCTACACTCTTGTTAGCTCAACAGGAGATAGAAGGTCAAGTGCGCCTGGCGGTCTGGCCATTTCATTACCCCATTTTCTACAACAGCCCACTCGCAGCATCCTACTTACATTTCTGAAACAGGGCCTCAATTTCCAATGTCCACGGACAAGCAAAATATTAGAGCTGTGCACACTATGTGCCCGTCTGAATCATTGAAGTCTGAAGATTTTAGAATTCACATTCCTATAATCTTTTAGGGATTCCAACGGTACCTATAATAAACCAACTTGAACACACAATATCATCGATTTTAATTACACGAGATAGCAAGTGCAAGCACAGTAGCCTAGATTAGTATAGAGATCCTACGGAGAGGAAGCAAAAGGCACCGGACTGAGGAAACGAAAGATTGCGCGCACCTCCCGGGCCTGGACGACCGGCGGCGTTGAGACCGGCACGAGTGGCGCGGCGGCGGTGTACAGGAGGTACTGGCGGAGGCGCTCGGCGTCGACGGCGAGCTCGGCGCCACAGACCGGGCACCCGCAGCGCGCGAGCCCCGGCGGCACGCTCAGCAGCGCCCCGCACGCCCCGCACGGCAGCCCGACGTGGGGCGCCGCGGTGAGGTGCCGCGCCGGGGCGGGCGGGATGGGCAGCGCGCGGCGGCGGCATGAGCTCCGGCGGGAGCGCCTGCGGCGTTGAGCAGTCCGGGCAGAGGAACTCCGTCAACCCGCGCTCCACCTCCAGCGTCTCCAAGAAGCCGGCGCACCGCGCACCTCAAGGAGGTCCTCCTCCCCCTCCCCCGGGGCCGGCGGCGGCGACATTCGAGTCCTCGGGGGGCGAGCAGCGGACTATAGGTTACTCGCGGCGGTTCGCGAGGGAATTAACGGCAAGCCGACTACTCGTGGGGAATGGGGAAGAGCAAAGGCTATGATCGGTACAGTTTATAAGCTGTTTCTGATTTAAAATAAATTGAGATTAAAAATCAAACGGTATGTTTTTTTATAGTTTTTTATGTTTTTTATTTAAGCCACGTTTCTCATAACAGAACTGCTCTTCTTTAGGGAACAGTAATAGAATTGTCGGCACCCGGACGTCCGATCGGATACCGATTTGTCAGCCGGTTTTGTGGATGCAAGCTCAACACACAGCCCATCTACCAAACGACCAAGATATCTCGCTTTCCTTTCTTCCCGTCGCGTGCCGAACGAATGACGCATTCGGGATAGTTGGGCTGTTCATGCCATCACGGCTCACGGCAATGGAGTGTCCGGATGATTGAACGTCCTGACCCTAGCATTTCTGTTCTCCGAATTTACTGTTCTACTAAACAGGACCCAAGCGATACAGGCTCTGTGGTCACTGTCATAATTGTTGCTGCTGAGTTTAAAAAAAATCTGACCTAGATTTTTTGTGGATGGGCAAGATCGAATTCATACTGAGAGCATCTCCAAGAGTCCTAAAATTACTGAGTTTTCCAAATCGTCAAAATAATTAGGAACAGCAAAGAAAAGTTTCTCCAACAGTTTTAAAAAACGATAATGATTCTACTAGGACGTCCGTCCTCAACTCGCACGTCGGACACATCCCATTCTATTCTAATCCCGTGACACCCCCCTCCCGCTCTCCACGCCCACTCCGCCCGCACTCTCCCCTGCGCCCACTCGCTACCGCACCGCCGCGCTATTTCTCCGGGCCTGCTTGCACCGTCGGGATGGAGCGCACCGCGCCCGCGTGCCAGCTCGATGCCATCCCGCTCGCCCGCGCTCCCTCCCTCCCGCCACCGGAGACGAGGATACCGCGGCGGTTCCAACGAGGTAGGTCTGTCCTCCTCTGGATCTGAACCCTCCTCCTCCTCTGGATCTGAGCGCTCCTCCTCCTCATCTGGATTTGAGCCCTCCTCCTTCTCTGGATCTGAGGGCCGCGGCGGTGGCTAAGGTTCCGACGAGCTCTGGGGTCCTATTCCCTCCTCCCTCCGGCGAGCACGAAGGTGATGGGCCAGGGACTATTTTGTAAGCTTTTTTGTTGTTTCTCCCATGTTACAATGGTTTTTTTTTTATGTTGCAACATATGATTTTCAAATGTTGCAATGGGATTTTTGGGTCGCTGCAACAGATGTTTTTGCGATGTTGCAGTACTACTATTTGAGATGTTGCAGTACATAATTTTTTATGTTGCAGTACATATTTTTTTGATGTTGCGGTACATGTTTTTTCGACGTTGCACTACATATTTTTGCGATGTTGCAGTACATGATTTTCGATGTTGCAGTACATAATTTTTGATGTTGTGGTACATATTTTCCTGATGTTGCAGTACATGTTTTTCGATGTTGCACTACATATTTTTGCGGTGTTGCAATATTTATATTTCGATGTTGCACTACATAGTTTTTTCATATTTTTGCAATGTTGCACTTGAAGTGTTTCGTGCAATTTGGGACAGGGGCACGATGGGGGGAACGGGGTGCGTCAGGGAGGGAAGCGGCGGGGAGGTGTTGGGAATGGGGGCGGCGTCCGGACGCAGCGCTTGCACCGGACGTCCGGGCGTTAGGATATAAGTCCTAAAATATCAAAAAAAAATGGAAGCACAGGAAACTTTCTTGGAGAGATTAAACGGCAAATTTAAATGAAGGGAAAGATATGGATGGTACCTCCGGAAAGCCTATCTTTGTATATGAGAGAAGCTCCGCTTAGAGAAAGTGAGGAAGCGGCGACGGAACGGGAACAGAACAGCGGCGGCGGCAGCTCGGGAGATATAGTGGGTACCCGAAATCCGAAACCCGATGGGTTTTTACAAGCATCTCCAAGAGTTTCTAAAAGAGTGAATGGGTCCTTAAACTTTTCTCCACTTCTTAGCTAGGTTTGTTAACTTTTTTCGCTCATCGGAGTGCATGAACTTTGTCTACGTCCTAGGCGCCATCCAAACCAGGCTACATAGGACTCTACTCCCTGTGGCTACTGATGTGGCACCACATGCTCTTTCTTTTTATTTTATAAACAGGCTGAAATTTTGAAAAATAGTATAAAATTATAGAAAAATCATAAAATAGAAAATCCAGTTTTTATAGACTCCACATGAGTAGATCTATATAATAGATATATAGTATGTCATGCTTTAGTTTAAGCTTTTTGCAGTAGTCGTAGATCCATGTTTCTGTGTTTAATTGATAACTGCATCTCTTGTACTCTAATTGTAGTGAAACTTTTATGGTAGACCACTCATTGTATGGTTGAGCTATGGTAAAAATTTCAGCTTAAGTGGAGCACATACAACTGAATTATTAATTTACCTAGGTTGATGCTTTTTGGGTGAAAATTAAGCTTTCATTCAAACAAATCCATGTCCGAACAAACATATATAAACGAAGTAACATAAGTTGCAAGAGTAATAATCTACAGCACCCCCTTTACGCTGAACCTGGAGCCGTATTGTATGGACCTGTGCTTCCACACCTTGAGCCTTCCATCGTCGCCCCTGCCCACCTCAATTCCAGTTAGGACAAGCACGGAAGCACCTCATCTTCAAGTTCCCACCATTCTTCATCGAAGCCGCTGCATGACTTCCCTGTGCGGCGATTCTCGACTACAAAGGCTTTAGCAATGCAAAATCTGCCTGAGCCCAGGCTGACGACTTGGGTCCTCCCTGCCGACCAATTCTCCGGTGTGACAAGGTCCTGCCAGACATGCTGCAACTTTGGTGGGTGGTCCATGGCCATGGCGTTGAGGTCTGACGTGCCGCACAGGTAGCAACATGGGCTGCAGGGGGAGAAGCCCAGCCAGAGGGCGAGGTCAGGGACGTACTCGGCTCTGCCTAGAAACGGCAGAAGCCAATCGCCAGCACGCCTCCATTCACGCTCCACCGTGTCGAAGCAGTAGGTGCCGATGCCCGGTGGCGCACAGGAAAAGCAGAAGGTGCGGCCTCCGTCGACCACCGTGTAGGCATACATGAAGAGGGCGGGACTGTACCGGGGGTCGCCTACGAAGGGTGGCGGTGGAAGAGACTCCCAGCGCCACCGCTGCCCATCGGCGTCGGCGTCTTTTCTGAAGACCCGGAAGCAGGTGTTGGCGCCCCGCCATGGGTCATCGTGGATAACGTAGAGGCCTTCTTCTTCCTGATTCCTGATCCAGAGCACCAGGGCGGACGACGGAGAACGAGATGGGGTGCACTCCCACTTCATCTCGGAGGTGGGGCATGGGGTCGACGGATGGTTTGTCGGCGTCGCAGAGCATGGTGTCGCCCATCCAGTTGATGCAGAAGAATTTGTCTTCGCTGCTGCGGGGACTCAAGAGCCCCCAAAAAGGCAGCTTGTCGAGGACCGGCTCCTCCCTGAAGGACGGGTGGATCTTCACGCACGGTGCTGGCAGCTCTTGCAACCTGTCTGGCATCGGCTGCTCATCACCGCTGCTGTCCTGTGCTTCTGCTAGTAACGGCACCACTCGTGCGTCGGCTCTTGACTGGTGGAAGAGATGTTTGGAGACGTCCAGGCGGTGCAGCGAGTACACGCCGGTCTTGTACTTCTCCGTCACGACATTCACGAACCGCCGGATCATCCAAGATCGAAGAATTCAGACTTCCCCCTAGACGTGATTGGTATATCTACTCTTCCTTGTGCGATCTGATTGATACTCAAAACAACGAGGAAACAAGAAAAGCTTTTTGAGAGATTGAGATTAAACGGCAGATCTTCGTACAGGAGAGCCGCCCGGCTTGGAGAAAATGAGGAAGTAGCGACGGAACGGAAGCAGAAGAGCGGCGGCGGCCGGGCAGAATGTCCGCTCTTCTATTTAGGCCATGGGACATGGGCCGCGCAGATACCAATTCCGGGCTTCCATGGCCTGAAAAGACAACATAAACCATTCGAATTTCCTAAAGTGTCCCTGTAACTTGCCACGAGTTACCAGATCAAACAATCAAATAACGGGAGTGCGTATTCCCGAGCGCGCACGTGCCCGAGCTACGGCACGCACACCTGCATCCACCGTCGGTTCATGCTACTGCTCATCCTGGCCGCCTTATTTGCACAGGCTTCTCCCTCGTCCGTGCCCGCCTGCACCTTCCCCAGCTCCGACGGCGGCTAAGGTCCAGTGAGCCACGCCATCCCTGGCTTCCCCAAATCCGGCGGCCTTAGAAGGGGCCGGCCGGGGAAGGAAGGCCGACCAGCGGTGGGGATGATCGGTGAGCGGTTTAGGGGAGTTGGCGACGATAGCGGCAGTCGGGCCAGATCGGGGCAGGGGTATCATGGTCGAACTTCGCCAGAGTTCGTCATGGCCACATGCGGGAGGGGGTGGGGGGAGCTAGAGGGGAAGGAGGAGATCACCGAGGACGGTAGGGTCTCACTAGAGACCCACGTCATCTTTACTCCAAGCAGCCCACCTGCAGCAACCTAACATAGAAACAGATTGGCTGATGGTTTCTACGGCTGATAAGCCGACTGATGCTGTTTTGTTGTGAGAGAAAAATACTATACCATAACTGATAAGCCGAGCTGATAAGTTCGAACAAGACGATCCACCGACTATAGAGCTGTGCACGCTATAATAAACCAAATTGTACGCACAATATTACGGATTTTAATTGAACGAGACAGCAAGTTTAAGCACAGTAGCCTAGATCAGTATCAAGAGGAAGCGAAAGGCACGGGACTGAGGAAATGAAAGATTGCGCGCACC